TGTGGCCACCAGCCAGCCTTTCCATGTGTCTTCTGCGCGCTGCTGCTTCTGCCTGAGTCCATGACCACCCCCTCCGGGGGGGGGGGGGGGGGGGGGGGCCCGGCCCCCCAGGGGCCCGGCTGCCCCCCTGCCTCAAGGTCATGAGGATGCTCTACGGAGTGCCCTGTGAGTGGGGACCGGGTGGGGACCTTGGGGGACGGAGGTGCCATGCATGGGAGTCCTGTCCCACCCGGTGACGCCTGTCCCCTCTGCCCAGGTCGGTGGGAGTCCACCTAACGCTGCAGAAGACCCCTTTGCTCGACGCCTTCTCCTTGCCCTGTGGCCCAGGACGCTGCCTCTGCTCTGCCCCTCCCAGCAGAGCCCCTTGGGGATCCCCAAGGAAGATGCAAAGGGGGACAAATGCCACCCCCCTCCGGGACCAAACGTCACTCCCTCCAGGACCCTGGGACTGTGCACGGCCACGGGGTCGGCCCCGTCCAAAATGCCAGGCACCTTCTGCACGGGTGCGGGCTGGGGGGCCAGCCCCCCCCCCCCCACGGGCAGGCAGCTGCCGGCTGCCTGGGGGGGACATGCTGCCCTGCCCTGCCCGCAGCGGGGGGCAAGGGCGTTGCCCGGTTCCTCTCGGTTTGTATTTTTTTTCCTCAGCTTTCATTAAACACCAGGTAATTCTCTAGCGCTCAGCATTGCAGCTCAGCTTCCAACCAGGTCCCGGGAGCCTCCAGCCTGACCCGAAATAAAGGACCAGCAGATAGAACCCCAGCTGCCTCTTCATTTGGGGTGTCAGTCCCCTCCCTCGGCTTTGCGGGGGAGATATTCGCCCCGATATAGGGACCCCCCAGAGCCACCACCTGCCAAGCCGCCTCCGTCAGCCCCGGCCGCTTCCCCGGCAAGAAAACATCTGGATTTGTTTGTTGTGCTTGGCGGCACGGTATGGGTGGCGTGCCGGAGGGGCCGGGGGCTGGCTGGCTGCCTCCCCTCTTCCTAGCTTAGTTAATTACCTTAATCAGCTTTTATAGCCCTTAATTGGTGTATTCCTTGCTGCGGGCTGCTTAGGATTACAAGTCTATGAGAGCGTGCAGGTGAGGCTGTGAGCACTGCAGCATGAGCGGATGCAATGTCTTTCCTCCTCCTCCTCCTCCTCCTCCCTTCATGCCTAGCGATGGTTCATGTTTATATAAAGCCCACACGAAGCTCATATAAAGCCCACCAACTACGATCTGCCGCTTGATAAAGGGCTTTAATTTGAGGGACCCCCTCGCCCATCCCTGCTGGCTTTAACAAATAGCCCACGGGTGGTCCGGCCAGGGCCCCCCCGGGGCTGAGCTCCCACCTTCCGCTCCCTCACGTCAAGCGTGGGAATGGCCCCCCCATGCTCTTCCACCGTGGGAAAAATGAAGCCGCCCCGGCAAAATGACCCCAGCCGGGCTTCCCAGAGCATGACCCCGGCAAACGGCTGGGGCTCGAGGCGTGCCAAAGCCCTGCGTTTCCAGCCCAAGTGCCCACTTGAGATGTTGCGACACCTTTTTCCAGTCCCTCTTTCAAGGGACGGCTTCAAAAATGTCAACTGAGAGCGGCCACGGAAACGTACTCACGCGATGGGGAATCGGGCCCTGTTTGCAATACCTCGTGATGTACCGTGAGATGGGATGGATGCAGGGAGGGCCAGCCCAGGGCGAGGTGCTGAGGTCCCAAAAGACATCCCTAGGGACATGCTAGGGCTTGGGAGATGCTCCTGCTGTGAAACCCCCAGCTGCTGGAAAAGGAAGGCCTTTTGCTGGCCTTGAACCAGCTGAAAAAAAAGCCCGTCAGCATCCTCGGGACGGGCACGGAAAGGCCGACTGCTTTTGGGGAGCCGGGTTCAGCAGGGTGAGAGCCGGACTCCGGTAAGGATGTCCCATGCCCGTGGTTTTGGGGCTGTCTGGGATGCCCCCAGGCCGCCAACCAGCATGGCTTATGGCCACAGAGCGGGGCCGTATCCACACCGGCCCCTTGGGCAGCGTGAGGTTGCCCCAGGGTGGGGGGGGAAGATCTCTCAGCCCCAGGGGATGCCCCGGCAGAGCCTGGCACCGGGGTGCAGGACCACGCTTGGAGCATCCTTCCCTCTGCTGCCCCGGCCCAACTCAGCATCGCTGCGGGGGGGAAGGGGGGCAGAGACCCCCAGCTCTCACCCCCCCCAAACGGGGAGGTGGGGGGGGTGGGGTATCCGTGTTCCTACCCCACAGAATCAGAGTGAGCCTGGAAATGGCAATTAACTTTACTGAGCTCAGCGGGTGCCGTGGCCGGGCGCTGCTCTCACCAGGGCAGGCTCTGCCCTCTCCAGTCCCAGAAGGTGCCGTTGCTGGTGGCTGAGAGCCGGGCCAGCAGCCGCAGGACGCCCTGCACGCTCTCCTCCACCGTAACCGGGCCCTGCCAGACTCAAGGGCACAGGGAGAAGAAAAAAAAAAAAAAAAAAATCAGCCCAAACCCCTTCCCGGCACCTCCAGCCCCAGCCCCGGGCACGGTGGGCTCCCAGCTCCGGCCGGGGCAGGTTAGGAGAGGTTGGAGATGCTCTAGCAGCCAAGGGATGCAGCTTTGCGCAAATTAATCATCCCTAATTTGGGTGCTCTAAGGCTGGATGTCAATTTTACAGTTCCTAATAAAGAAGTGATTCATTTGTTCGCTCCGTAAGCCAGCGCAGGGCTAAGCCTTGCCCGGCGACGCGGCAAGAGGCTGCTCGTCTCCAGCTTCGCCTGCCTCCCCTTG